TTGTTGATGAATCACTGAAAAGTTTGAGTCGCCGTTGTGTGTGCAGCCGTGTGCGCTGTACTGCTCGTTTGTCTGTGTGTGTGTGTGTGTGTGTGTGTGTGTGTGTGTGTTTGTGTGTGTGTGTGTGTGTGTGTGTGTGTGTGTGTGTGTGTGTGTGTGTTTGTGCGTTTCCTAGCAACAAGAGCAAACACCTGACACAGCTGCAGCTGTTTAGAATGAAATGTTTAGAGATTAAGTGACCACAGTCCCTGTAAGAAGTCTATAGTATTTGGTGGGTGCCCTTGATGCTTCTTACGTCCTTGTCACCGCACCAGTAACACCAAAATTAGGCACTGAAATGCATATGCTGATTCAGTGATCCTGCTTGTTACAAACCGTTCCCACTCTCAGCTCACATGATTCAAAAGAAAAGGTCCACATTGTCCCCCGATAATGTCAACAGACCGGACTGCCTGAGCAACTGGCTGAATGTAAAGGAGGACTGAGCAAAATAGTTTCTACTTTATAATTAATGTTCTCAACTCACAATACAACTTCACAATGAGCACAATTGTTTGTATTCAATACTTTATTATTATTATTTTCCATATCTGCAATGGCTGTATTTTGGATTTTTTATTTGTAGTCCACTTAGAATCCAACATGGAAATCATTTTTATTTGTTATTGGCATTGATTGTTTTAAAATTCAAATGGCACTAACATGCCTGTGTTTTAATTTCTTTAATAAATATGTTTTTGTCTTGATTAATCATGATTAATAATAAAGTGTGTTTAATTAGTTTTTTATAATGTGACAGCCCTAACTGTATATATATATATTTAAATGTAATTCACTCTATAATAAATATACTTTTCACGATGTTAACCTTGTCATTTAAAAAAAAAAAAAAAAAAAAATATATATATATATATATATATATATATATATATATATATATAAATTTGACTTGATGAAACGTGCTAAAACCCTGTGTAGACAATCCAACACTAATATTGCTGAAGGGGGTTAATAATATTAACTCTAAAACGGGTTTAACAAAATTAAAAACTGCTTTTATTCTAGCCAAAATAAAACACATCAGACTTTCTCCAGAAGAACAAATATTAGAGGAAATACTGTGAGAAATTCCTGAATCTGCTAAACATCATCTGGGGAATATTTAAAGAAGAATAAAAATTCACAGAAGGGCGAATCAGTCTGACTTTAACTGTGTGTCGCTGAAAAACGAAATATTGCAGCGTCACTTCTTTCCAATATCCTGCATGTGTGTGTGTGTGTGTGTGTGTGTGTGTGTGTGTGTAGATAAACCGGAACCCACGAAGGTGCTAGAGATCATCTCGGGCTGTAACTGGGAGTCTCAGCGCTCGCGGGTGCTGAAGGAGCTGTTCCAGCGCGTACAAACAAACACACTGCCTTCTGTGCTCTCGCTGGACGATTACACTGTAAAGCTGCTGTCTGAGCACCTAAAGAAGGACGGCCCGCGCTCCATGATCACATACAAGGTGTGTGTGTCTCTGAGTGACAAGGAGAAGAGCGCGCAGAAGGAGTGTGTGCAAAAGGAGTGTGTGGAGAAGGAGCGTGTGCAGAAGGAGCGTGGGAAGGAGCCTGCGCTGAAGCCTGTGCCTCTGCTGTGTGGAGTGATGACTGCAGGACATCTGAAGGCGCAGCGGAGGGCGCCAGACCTGCACTGCCCAATACAGGTCAGTCACATTATATCTTAATCCATATATACATTAACTGTAATTAACTATAACTCAGTCTAAAGTAGGCATGGCCCGGGAGGAGATTCTGATGGTGTGATAACCTTTGAATACAAATATCACAGTTTCACTGCATCACTGTGAATCAGCTCTATAATCGTACTGAGATATTTATTTATTTTATGAGATATATATTGTTTTTTTGTGTGTGTGTCATTATATCTTATCTGTATTACTATAAATTTTTCAATGGTTTTATTATATTTCATATTTGAAGTGCTTTGGCAATACTGCACTTAATGTCATGCCAATAAAGCAACTTGAACTTGAACTTGAACTACTCTTACGGTGCAGTACTGCACTCCTTTTCAGACGTTTAAATCAAGAGTTTATTACTCCAAACCAAACGTTTCCCACAAAAACACCAGTGTTAGTGTGTGAAATATAATGTCTCTGAATGTTTGTTTGAAGGCATAGCCAATTAAACACTTATGTTGGGCACATTGACATGTTTTTTGTGCACGTTTGTCTGTTCAGAAACATCATATTTACGCTCACTGGCCACTTTATTAGGTACACCTCACTAGTACCGGATCAGACCCATTTTGCCTTCAGAACTGCCTTAATCCTTCTTGCCACAGATTTATCAAGCTACTGGAAATATTCCTCAGAGATTTTGCTCCATATTGTCATGATAGCATCACACAGTTGCTGCAGATTTGTCGGCTGCACATCCATGATGTCAATCTCCTGTTCCACCACATCCCAAAGCTGCTCTATTGGATTGAGCTCTGGTGACTGTGGAGGCCATTTGAGTACAGTGAACTCATCGTCATGTTCAAGAAAGCAGTCTGAGATGATTGAGCTTTATGACATGCTGCGTTATCCTGCTGGAAGTAGCCATCAGAAGATGGAGACACTGTGCTCATAAAGGGATGGACATGGTCAGCAGCAATACTCAGGTAGGCTGTGGCGTTGATGCTCAATTGGTACTAATGGACCCAAAGAAAATCTCCCCCACACCATTACACCACCACCACCAGCCTGAACCGCTGATACAAGGCAGGATGATCCATGCTTTCATGTTGTTGAGCCGAGCATCCGAATGTGTCAGCAGAAATGGAGACTCATCAGAGCAGCAACGTTTCTCCAATCTTCTATTGTCCAGTTTTGGTGAGTCTGTGTGAATTGTAGCCTCAGTTTCCTGTTCTTAGCTGACAGGAGCGGCACCCGGTGTGCTCTTCTGCTGCTGTAGCCCATCCGCCTCAAGGTTGGACGTGTTGTGTGTTCAGAGATGCTCTTCTGCAGAGCTCGGTTGATACGAGTGCTTATTTGAGTTACTGTTGCCTTTCTATCAGCTGGAACCAGTCTGGCCATTCTCCTCTGACCTCTGGCCTCATCAACAAGGCATTTGCGCCCACAGAACTGCCGCTCACTGGATATTTCCTCTTTGTCGGAGCATTCTCTGTAAAGCCTAGAGATGGTTGTGCATGAAAATCCCAGTAGATCAGCAGTTTCTGAAATACTCAGAGCAGCCCGTCTGGCAGCAACAACCATGCCACGATCAAAGTCTCTTAAATCCCCTTTCTTCCCCATTCTGATGCTCGTTCTGAACTTCAGCAGATCATTATGTCTGCATGCCTAAATGCATTGAGCTGCTGCCATGTGATTGGCTGATTAAAAAGTGTGTACACAAGAAGTTGAACAGGCGTACCTAATAAAGTGGCCGGTAAGTGATCCGAACAGATCTGTTGGGCAGCAGTGTCTGCTAGTGTGTGAATAGTGCTGTTTTCAGGCTGTTTACTGTTTATTGATGAGTTTGTGATGCTGGATTGGTGTTTTCAGGTCAATGGCAGGACATACGCTCAAGCTAAACTGACCCTGGGCCGGATGGGATCTCTGCATCCCGCTAACCGTCTGGCTGCGTACGTCACTGGAAGGATAAAATCATTTGTACCCAGCAGAACCAGAACCACTGCAGCGTCCAGACGCTCCAAATACACAGGTGAGCTACAGCTCAGATGACAGGAATATGTAAATGAATATGAGCTGTTCTCTAAATTCTGTTTTCTCTTCAGCAACTCGAGCAAACCATAGTACAGACGTTTTTAAAAAGCCAGCGACCCAACGTCTGAGTATACCCAGGCCTCCTGGTGGCATCCGCTTTCCTAAGGTGAGGCGTATCCTAAATGCGTTGGCCCCACCCCTCTCCGCTGCTGATAGGGTGGTGCCGGCGTCTGCTCTCCCGCCGGGGCAGCAGGTAGTTCTGCAGCCGGTGGCAGGCATGAGCGGAGTCAACATGTGCCAGTTTAATGGTCAGATGATCCAGCTGGTGCCCGTCTCTGCAGCCGCGCCCATGCAGATCCAGACCAGCACTACACACAGCTCAGGTTAGTACTTTAATAACTATATATGTGTGTGTGTGTGTGTGTGTGTGTGTGTGTGTGTGTGCGCTGACCAATGACATTTTTAAACCTGTTTTATTTTTACCTGGAAAATCATGTGGCAAATGAATAAAGGAAACCCATGTGGCATTTGACTAATGCCTCTTTAAAAGTAAAATCATTATTTGTTAATATACTTTTTTTAAAGGGCCATGACCCCCTGTCTCAGCAGGCTGTGTTCACACTTCTTGTGTGAATAAAGTCAGGACAGTGGGTGAGTCCAGCTCTGTTTAGGCAGGAGTGTTGAGTACAGAAAGAGGGGAAGAGTTTGCATGAAAAGGGGAGTTTCAGTACATGCACAACAGCCAGCAACTCAGACGCAGGGGAGATAGACGTGACTACTTTAACATGGACATCAGTAATGGAATTATTTGCTAAATTCATTAATTCATTTTCTTTTGTCAGCTTAGTCCCTTTATTAACCCGGGGTCACCACAGCGGAATGAACCGCCAACTTATCCTGCACATTTTTTATGCAGCGGATGCCCTTCCAGCCGCAACCCATCTCTGGGAAACATCCATACACACACACACACACACACACACACACACACTACGGACAATTTAGCCTACCCTATTCCCCTGTAGCGCATGTGTTTGGACTAGGGATGTAACGGTATCAGAATTTCACGGTACGGTAATACCTCGGTATGAATGTCACGGTACGGTATTTATTGAATCATTTACAGGAAAAAACTAAACTTATGAAAATACTCCAAAAAAGTGCCAAAAGTGTCAATGACATACAAATTAGCCATCTATCTGTAAGCTTTGAAACAGGAACTTCAATTTTAATAAAAAAAAATTATTAAACCATGTAAAAAAATAAAGTTTCAATTTAGTATTGTTGAAAACTCATCACATTCAACATTTAATCACTCTCAGCCCATCTACCCAGATGAGAGCTCTGCTAGTCGGACTTCTCATCAAGCATCTCCCGCTGGATCTAATCTCACTATATTTATTAAACGGGATATTTCATTTATCTTGTTGTCTTTATCTAACGACATATTCCCTGACTTTGGTCACTGGAATCTATTACTTGTTCTCAGGTAACGTGTTTTGGCTGAGCGCAAAGATAAGTTAATG